TGAGGAACTGTATTAAAGGGTCGCGGCATTAGGAAGGTTGAGAACCACTGCTCTAGTGTCTAGGAGATCCATCTGCCACCAGAACTATGATTCCCAGCATTCCTGGTGTTCCCCACGTTCTGGGCTTCTGCTTTTGGTCCTGGAGCTGCCACCAAAACTCCTATTCCCAGAATTCCTGGTGCTCCCTGCAATCTTGGTTTTCCCTTCCTGCTCTGTCTCGGTCCCATGGCCTCCCACTCTGCCAAGCTCCCCCTCTCTGCTCTCTGTCTGGCAGCTTGAGGAGCCAATTTCCCCAAGCGGCTCCACTCTCTGCCAGCTCTCCCGCTCTGCTCTCCACCTGGTGCCTGTGTATGCAAATTAACCTGTCATCTTTGTCAGGTTAATTTGCATACCCACTCCTGATTGGCTGGTGAGTGTCATGGAGGGATGGTCAATTTACATGTTTCTCTTTTATTATATAGGATTATTGACCCAAATCCTTATGCTATACTTTACATCCCCATGACTATTTTGTAATGATCAATCTGTGCTTCTCAATCCTTTTACCTTTTTCACCCAGTCCCCATTCCCCTTCCTGTAGTAACCATCAGTCTGTTCTCTGTATCTATGAGTCTGTTTCTGTTTTGTTTGTTTACATTGTTCTTCATATTCCACATATAAGTGAAATCATATGGTATTTGTCTTTTTATGATTAACTTTAATTTCACTTAGCATAATACCCTCTAGGTCCATCTATGCTATTGAAAATGGTAAGGTTTCATTCTTTTTATATGTATCACAGCTTTTTAAAAATATATATTTTCATTGATTTCATAGAGGAATGGAGAGGGAGAGAGAGATAGAAACATCAATGAGAGAGAATCATTGATCGGCTGCCTCCTTCACGCCCCCTACTGGGGATAGAGTCCACAACCTGGGTATGTGCCCTTGACCAGAATCAAACCCAGGACCCTTCAGTCCGCAGACTGAGCCTCTATCCCCTGTGCTAAACCGGCTAGGGCTCCTCTTATAGTCTCGAGCCGTCTATTTCAGTCAGGGCTCCGTTAAGATAGAGATAGTGGAAGGGAGAGGGAGACACAGAGAGAAACACCCATGTGAGAGAGACACAGCAATTGGTTGCCACCCGCACACATCCAGGGCCGAGGATTGAGCCTGAAACCCAGGCATGCACCCATGACTGGAATCAAACCCAGGACGCTTCAGTCCTCGGGCCAATGCTCTATCCACTGAGCCAAACTGGCTGAGACATGTATCGCAGCTTTTTATCCACTTGTCTATTGATGGGCACTTGAGTTGCTTCCATATCTTGGCTATTGTAAATAACCATGCAATGAACATAGGGGTGCATATATTCTTTCCAATTAGTAGGGAATAAACCTACATTTTAAACAAGGGGAGGGCCAGAAAGAAAAGGTGGGAAGGCCTGACTCCAGAGTCAGAGGCTTAACTCTTCTATCTAACAATGGCTTGAGAAACAGCCAGGTTCCAAGATTCACTCTGCTTCTAGAATCCTTGGTCTTCTCATCTGAATGGGGAACTGTCTGTTCACTCTGGGTTAGGAGGATGACATTGCCTCTGGTGGGAGCTATTACTTTGCCCAGGACCAGACTCAGGCATGAGTGTGAGGGAGCATCCAGGAGCTTCTGTTTGGGGCCCAAGCTGTACCCTGCACACCCTCCTCCTACGCCAGGCCCCAACTCACCGGTTCTGCTCTTCCAGCTTGGCTAGTAGCTCCAGCTCATTGGGGCTGAGGTTCTCAGAGTCAGAGGTAGGGGAGCAGGTGGGGGCTGACAGGGCCTCCTGGGATGAGGAGTCAGGGCTCAGAGTGGGGCTTGCCATGGTGGGCAGGCTCATCAACTGCAAGCAGGGCCAGGTCACAGCTCTGTCTGGGGGCCGGAGACACACATGGTTAGCATTGGGTTGGGTTTCCACCTCATTCTTCCAGCTCTGAGCCAGCTGAGCCTGCTGTTCACCTGTGCACATTTCCTCACTCTGGGCTCCCACTTCTGCTCTGTACACTTGGCGTACCCCTCATCCCCATGTACCCCAGCTCAGGTGATAGCCATGCCAGCACCTTCTATTCCAGATGCTGACTACCAGGACCCCTGCCAGTGTGCTCCAGATGCCTGGACAGATACAATAGGACCACAGCAGGGCCCAAGCTATCCTGTTGTCCATGGGCATGAAGGCCAAGGCTCATCTCCACACTCCAGAGTCTTCAGCAGAGCCTGAGGCCAAGACTTCCGTCACTCAAGACCCCTGCTGGGACCTTGAGGTGCAAAAGCCCCTACTTTGGTGGCCCTTTCTGATAGCCTCGGTCCTTGTCTCCTGCTGTGGTCTGCCCTGGGAGGCCTGCCTCAGCATCTGATCTTCCCTGTGTCATCAACCAAAGTGGTCTGCTAGCACAGCCAGAAGCAATTATTCTTTACTGTTAATTGTCTGGTGCTGCCAATTGCCAGAAGAGTTGACTACACTTGGGCTGGGAAGCCAGGGATGCATCGAAGTTCTGGGAGTCTGTGCTGTGGTGGATACAGAGTGAGAGCCGTAAGTTCTGACGGGTATCCTGATCTTGGCTTGCCATGTGCCATGCAGGTGTCAGGTCATCTCTCCTATTTTTCCTGGGGATGGTCTGGCCCCACCCTCCTGGGGGGGGGGTCCAAGGACATTGGCCTCTCACCTTCTGCCAGTGTCATGAGAGGCAGCTCAGCACCATACCCAAAGCTATGGCTCCAGACTCAGATAGACCTGTGCCTAAAGCATGGCACCCTCTCAACCAGCTGTGTAGGCTTCTCTGAGTCTCACAGGCCTCAGAGGGTGACTGTGAGAACTGAGTATGCTATGCACGTGGTGTGTGAGAACAGTGCCTGATACTTAGTGATCATTCCATAAACATTCTATTATTATCTATCCTTGGGCCAAGGTTGAGGGCTAGCTGGGAGCCAGGGCTTTGGGGTTCCGCTATGCCTGTTGTGGGACATCTGTGGGGGTTGGCATCACCTTGTAGGAGGTTCTAGTCATCAGGAATGGCTAGGAAAGGGAAGGTTGCTAGGAGCAGGGGACAGTGTTCCTTCTACTCAGTCATTCTGCTTCTGGTGAGCCCAGGTTAGCTCAAAGGGTCTAAGAAGATAGTGATCCCCAGGGTCATGGTGGCAGGAAGAAAATCCTGCTCCCCTACTGCCTCTGTGGGCAGTCCCTTCATGCCCACCCATTCTCCTGCATGCTCTGTACCAGGAGTCCACTATGTGCTCTTGGACCCCACCTGACCCGGCTCTGACAGCTCTGCCTGCATAGGGGCCCTTGCCTGGTCTCTGGAGAGGTGGGAACTGGTCCCCTAGGCAGCAGGGGGATAGTGACAGAATGAACTACCACACCTGCCTGGCCACCTCAGGTCACTGGGCACCTTCCTACAGCCTAAGCTTAGCCCCCAGCCAACACCCAAGAGCTCAGGGGTTGGCTGGACTTGATCCTAGCCATGCACTTGATTCTGGCTGCCTTCCCTCATGCTGCCCAGTCACGGGGGTACTATTCTGCTTTCACCTTAAGCGGGTGGGCAAGAACCCTCCCTCCCTAGGACTCTGAGACTCCCCAGGGCCACTGGTTCTGTCTCTGGTTCCTGAGAGCTCTCCTACTCTGTTGGGTACTAAGGGCTCTGGCTTTTGGTGAGTGGTATGAACTCTAGGTCCTGGTAGAACCGGTTGGCCAGGGACCACCTGTTCCAAAGATCAAGCAACATGCACCACTTAGCTAGGAGTTAATCATTCCTGACAGAGGAACAGTGGGGGCTGCACCAAGGCCTCCTGCAGAGTCAAAGTCTGTGGACAAGAAGTGCTGACCTAGAAGGATCTCTCTGTGAAGGAAGGGGCTGGGAAGGCTGCATGGGTTTCCCAGCTTCAGAGTTGGGAGATAGGGAGGAGCCTCAAAAGCACACCTGGATTTAAGGAGCAGTGGGGGCCACAAAGAAAGAGACTACATGTAGCTAGGGTCATAACCTGGGACACTCTCTCAGTCATGCCTCTTCCTTGCTGAGCCCAAAGCATAGTTGGCCCACCCTCTTCCCTGAAGAGCCTGAGAAAATGATTCAGATCTGAGTTTCCGTTAAAAAATAAAAACCACACCAGGAACCATCCACCAGGAGAGTGTGTTCAGCAATTTATCATATAGTAATGTGTATTTCATTCAGAAAATAAAGTTGACTCAATGCATAGGGCTGAAATTTGCAGTCTGAAAGGTAGAAACTAATGATCCCTCAGGAACTTTCTTTTGACTCATCCCTGGACTCTCTAAACACTGCTTTGCCCTGGAAGCCATCTCCTGGTGAATGTACATACATACACTCAGACATATACTCATACAGGCAGATATACACACTCACACACAATTTCACACTTATATGTAACTCACACTTGATATACAGGTAGACACACATACACATTCACTTTCACATGCACACACTATCTCATACCCATGCATACTCTTGCACGCACACAGGCATGCGTGCTTTCTGCACTGACAAGACCTTGCAACCCTTGGAACTGAGTAGATTCAGATGGACACTGGCTTGCTGCCATCTTAGCTTTGTGAGCAACCTCACCTCCCTCCCCAGAGTGCCATGACTCTTACTGTTTCAACTATTCCTTTCCTGGCACTTACTGAGGGCCAGGCTCTATTCTAGGCATTGAGTGGAACAAGGTGACGAGAATACAACTCCACAGGGTATGCAGCCATTTCTACCTTGCTAAATGGGCTCGGAGATGCAGAGACAAGGCAGGTCCCCTCTAGGGCCAAGGGGCCATACCTCTAAAATCCACACACAGGTTCCCTCTAGGTCTGGGGTCCCAACTTCAATGCCATTTGCCCCTACTCTAACTCAGCCACCTGAAGGGGGATTCTGGCTCCTGTGGAGTAGGCAATGAGCCACCTAACTCTGCTCCTGCTGGCACCACCATCCACCTCGCTCCCATGGCTTAGGAAGCTGAGCCAAGCAAGAGGGGTGGGAAGAAGACTCTGTTGGTGAGCTGGGCAGGGAGCGTGGGGGCAGAGAAGTCCAGATGCCAGACATCTCCCACCTTCTTTTCCCTCTCCCTCTTAGGGAATTTTGGACACTGTCAGTCATGCCTCTTCCTTCTTGAAGTCCTCTCCCATCTAGTTTCCCAGAGGCTGGGCTCCTGGGTCTCCTGCTTCTTTGCCCGTTTTAGCCTCCCACATGGTGCCTCTTCCTCCATAGGCTCTGCCTAGGCCCTTGTCCCTTCATGTTGTTGGTGATCTCACTCTTACGGCTTAAATGAATGAATATATATATGTCAGTGATTATGACACCTCCATTCCCAGATTTTCCTTTCTCTTGAGAACCAGCCAGATTGCCAATGACTCCTGAACATCTCCATCAGACCCCTGGCCAGGGCAGGAATTGTCATTGTCTGGGTCCCTGCTACTGCAGTGTCCCCTGCTGGACGTGGCACAACCTAAGAGTTGATAAATATTTGAGGAGATTCAGACGGACACTGGCTTGCTGCCATCTTAGCTTTGTGAGCAACCTCACCTCCCTCCCCAGAGTGCCATGAACCAACCTGCTCAACCACCAATATTTACTGGATGTCTACCAGGTGCTAGGTACTATGCTGAGGACTGAAGGCTGGTGGGCAAAGAGACACAGCCCCTGCCAGAGCATACAGGGGAAGAGACTAAGAAACGGTCACCCAAACTTCCTACTACAGATGGAGACAAATGCTTGGAATAAAAGATAAGGTAAACTGGAAAACAGTCTGGCAGTTCCTCAAAAAGTTCAACAAGAGTTACCACATGACCCAGCAATTCTACTCCTAGACACACATCCACATGTGAACTTGTCCATGACTATTCATAGCAGCATTATTCATAAGTGGAAATAATCCAAGTGTCCATTGGCAGATGAATGGATATATAAAATGTGGTCCACCCATATAATGGAATATTAAAAGAAAGGAAGCTCTGATTCGTATGAACATCGAAGACATGATGCAGAGTGAAAGAAATCAGACACAAAAGATCACAAGTGACATGATGCCATTTATATGAAATGTCCAGAATAAGTAAATCCTTAGAGATGGAAAGTCAATTAGTGGTTGCCAGGAACTAGAGCCCAGGAGTGGGAGGAATGGGGTGGGAAAGAAACTGTTTATGGGACTTTTTTGGGGTAATGACGTGTTCTAGAATTAGTGGTGGAGGTTGCACAACTTTGTGAATATACTAAGATCCATTAAATTGTTCATTTTAAAAGGGTGCATTTTATGGTATGTGAATTAGACTCCAGTTAAGAGAAGGTAAGGGGTGGGATGGGCTGGCAGAGGGACCTGGTGCAGAAGCAGTGGGAGAGGGGTGGGTGCAACTCAAGAAGGGACTAGGCAGGGGCCAGAACCCCACAGGGCATTGCGGGCCAAGGCAGCAACCTGACTGGGCTTGCACTTTAGGAAATCTCTCCTGACCTGCAGTGTGAAGATGCTCCTCCAAGCCGACTCTCTCCTGACTAAAGCCAGCCCCTCCTCCTGCTGCAGGTTGGCCTACCTGGGTCCCTGATGCTGCCACACACTGGCTCAGGCAAGGCCTGGTACTACCCTCCTGGTGCTTGCTCTAAACCCTTTAGCCACTCCCTACTATGACTTGGAATCTTGGAATCCCAACATTTTTGCATGGTGCACACACCCCTGCCAACCTCACCTCCTCCCATATCGAAGTCCCTCCACACACTTAACCCACAAGGAGCACCTACTTCTTCCTGCCTGTCTTTGCACATGCTATTTCCTTTGACTGGAAAGGAATTCTCCAAGACTTGGTTTGAGTTTTTTTTCTGTGAAATATTTCCTGCCAACACCCCACCTCTAGTGTCCTGGTTCATTTCTCTCTTTTCTCTCCCTGAAAATACCTACTCCCTACACCCCA